AATTTTGATGTGAACCCAATCGATAAAGAAGATTTCTTCTGCCAGTAGTGAAAATTAGAGTTTAGTTTTGATTGCAGCCGGTGATTTAAGCGACAAATAGCATTCTGCAGGCATATATGGCAGTTTCCAATCTATAACCTCTGTGATCTGTGTTGGTGAGTTTGACGGTTGATGGATTGTTGTAGATGCCACTATGCATTGGTGCGTAAAATTCGACTGCAGGCACTACCACCAGAGGGCGGCGTGACAAGAGTGGTGGGGCCCGGCATGTGCGACGCTTCGGCGTCGCACGGAGCCGAGCGACGCCGCCGACGTCGACGTCTGTCTCACGGCGTCACTTCGCTGATGTACGCGGCACAACAGGGCGACGCCGATCACGTGCGCCACCTCGTCCGTACGCAGGTTAGTTAAATTGGCGGCAAAGCAAAAAATTTGATTTTGTGCACCGTTGCGGATCTACCGATCTTCACTAGCAAGCACACATTTTTTTAGCTGCTTCGCCCCCAAAACGGCATGACAAATCCAGTTGTTTTCCGCCCCCCAATGAATTTATTTCGATTGTCATAGCAACTTAGTGATTCATAGCTATTGCGGTTCAGTTTCGTGCAGGCGGCAATAAAACGGGCCGAGCAATCATCGAATGTTGCTCTCTTTGCCGTTGCAATTGCCGGTGCTTCGAAGCATACTTTTGATCGAACACAGCGTTTTCCTCAGCCTCGCCGTCTGCTGGACCAGGACCGTACCGGCAAAACGGCGCTGCACTATTGCTGCACCAGCGACAGCAACAGGGCAGCGCAAGCAGCTGACCTGCTGACCATGGCAGCGCCAGACCTGATGGAATCCAGAGACGAAGACGGATTCACGCCGCTTCATTTGGCTGTGATTGCTGGCAACACTCAGCTGGTCAGCTTCCTGCTAGCTAATGGCGCTGATGTCGCTGCTGTTGACAATGAGAAACACACCGTAGTCCATTGGGCAACAGGTAAAAATCCTCACTTTTTTATTTGAAAATGAATATGAATTGATATAAATAATCTTGATAATTGATTAGTTGATCTATGGGTTTGTGCGCTGATCTTCCGCTGTGCGTTACGCTAGGTCTGGGTAACTCTGAGTTTTTAGGAGTTGCCGCAGTGCTACGCTAATGGTTTGGTGCGCCAACCCAACGCACCGGCGCAGTAACTCAGTTTCGATGCTGGAAAAATGTTGATGACTTTTTTACTTGGTTTTAGATTTATTTTAAGAGCCATTTATAAATAGTATTTTTAACATTTCTTAAAAATTTCAGAATTTTTCAGTTTTAGCAAAATTGCTCCTTTCACTTCAAAATACTGACAATCTTAAGGTATTTTTTGCGAAAAATTATGAAATAAATTTTATTAGAACACTTGCCTCCTTCGCCGTTGTGTACAAAGTTTTGAAATCCCTTTCCAGCTTCGAATTGGGGACAAAAATCAGATAATTTTTCATTAAAAAACGAACTCAATAAGCAAAAGTTTATAATAAATTATTTGGAAAACTTTTCACTTCCGTCTGACGACTGTAGAGTTTGTTGAAAAAATGTGGTTTTTTAGTTTTGACTGATTTTTTTGCTTTATTTTCCACTCAAAAACGCTCAATTTCGTAGTTTTACTTAAAAATACAGACGATACAGTAAAAGATCTCCATCTTTTACTCGAAAAACTACAAGATAGCTTTGTAGTGATTTTACAAAAACCTTTTTTCAGCGTCGAA